CTACATTCCACAGAAAAGAAATCTGTCTGAACAGACCACGTAACTGCTGGAGAATGAACCCACAACCACAAAAGCCCACTTTGGGCTAACCGATGAAACTACGGAAATGAAATGCAAAGTAAACAATTTTCGGGACTGGTGATCAGTGACACCACCAAACTCTGCTTGAGGGATTGAAGACGTACTGCTCAGTTCTGGTACCAAGTGAAAAGCGGTTCATCTTGCTTTGTAAAAGGCCAGGTTTCTAATTTTTTTTCACTAGGAACCAGGACTGGCTTATGTTCGATTTTAAGTTATTTTGTGTTATCAAAAATGAACGCTGAAAATGAAGAGCCCTATAATTACTATTCAAGCAGGACATTGTAACTATTGTGAAACTGGACATTCCCATGCCTTAAATATCCTCTACTACAACATTTTCTAGTAGCAATAATATAAAGCTTTATTTTATATAGTGCCTATTATAGTAACTTCTCAAAGCGCTTTACAGTGAGAAAAAAGTTAACAAGTAGAAGACGTAACAAAATTGTCACAATTAAACACAAGGGTTTGGAATGCAGAAGAAGACCCATGGGCAGAAACTGGACCAATTAAATAAAGGTCTTTCTGAAGAACAAGGTTTTGAGCCTGGATTTGAAAGAGCTCAGTGGAGGTGACTCTCTGATACCCTTGGGGATAGACGTCTAGAGTTTTGAGCAAAGCAAGAGAAGGTCCTGTCACCCATAGTATGAAGACCAGCTAGTGGGATGAACAGGAGACCTGGGTCAGATTAATGAAGGTTGCAAGGTGGGGAGTAGGAAGATAATACCTCCTGAGGTGCCAAGCCTTGCAGAGCTTCATAGGTGAGCATGAGGATTTTGAAGTCAACACAAAACTTGACAGGAAGTCGGTCCAAGGACTTCAGGATAGAAGCATGCAACCAAGTCAGGATTCTGCCTAATTCTGCACAAAGCATAGTTTAGTTGTGGGTAATTCACTATTTTAAAGTGAACAAACAATGTAACAATGTAGGGGTTATTTTTTAATTCAGATTCGTCTTGCAGCATATGTCTGGTCTCTGCTGTTATATGACATTAACTGACACGTTACACAAGTGAATCCACCTTATCTACAAGGTGCCAGCATTTCAGCTCAGATTATACTTGTCCGTTGCGTCTGCTTGATTCTGAAAGTAAAGAACCCCTAAACAAGACTAACCAGTGAACAACCTTATGACATTAAGGATCAGAGATATAAAGGAAGATTTATTGATTTTGTTGGTTGCTTTGTCTTAGTTTTAGGATGATTTTAAAGAGTTGCTTTCTTTTTTAAAACAAAAGATCTTGACAATATTGTTAAGTACAACTTGAATTATATACTGTATACCTTGGGTCACTGGACTCTCAACTCCACTGACCAAATCATCTCATGAGCTTCTCCTCTTCATTTGCAATATTTATATGTTTACATATAAAAACACAAGTAAAACGTTGACATTTCCTCGATTTTAAACAAAACAATTCCATACTGTTCAACTTTAAGGGGCCACCGTACAGAAGCTGAGAAATGATTTGTTGTTAAAAGACCGTGATAAATTCCTAATTACAAGGCAAAGCCTTCTAGGCTGAGTGATTTATGCACTACAAAAGAAAAGGGAGTGTTTAGGACATAGAAGAAGGGAGAGAATTGTACTCAGGGCCATTAATGGAGTCTTGCATCTACAGATTTTTGGTGATCTTGTTCTAGACAAATATATTTATCAGATCCAGAAACAGAAATGTAAAGCGACAGGGTCATCAACTGGAACCTGAATTCTGGAAGGCGGGTTTGTCTACGTTACTTAGAAGCAGAAACCAACTTGACACGTATTTGAGACGTCTGAGGCCTTGTCGTGAATGATAATATACAAACACATTTATTATAGACATAACATCAACAAACCAGACCTAAATTGAAAATAAGCATTCTTAAGTCTCCTGTTTTAGTCCCTAATAATAGTAAAAATAAATCAAATAACAATCCCAAATAATACAGTTAATATGTGTACTGACCTATCCAGCTGTGTCCAATTCATTACACAAATGTGTCAAAGTTATACGGTTGACAGAAAACACCTCATTTTAGCCTGGTATGATCTGAGTGAACATGTCTAAATAAAATATTTTTAACATAAATAAGAACTGCAGCCTGAGACCATCTTCTGTGTTAGCCCAGCTAGCAGAGAATAATCATGACAATATTTCCAGTTTTCAAATGTGTTGTTTGTGTGATTAACTACAGCGCAAAAGGAAAGCATGAAATTAAAAAGTAACTGCAAGTTACAATATGAAGAAAGTGATCAATTACAAATACTGCTCTTTTTACACTACCTAAATATGGGAAAGTAAAAAGATTAAAAATGTTTGGTAGCTGGTTAAAAGTGAAGTACTATCAGTGCAGATATTTAAATTTAAGAATTAATAGACTGCTTTTAAATTATATTACAAAAGTAGTTCATTTAATGAACTTGTGAAACAAATATCTTTAATTTTCCCTTTTGACTTCTATGGAAAAGTTTCACTCAATTCAAATGAAAGTGTGTGATGGAAAGCATTGCTTATAAATAGCACAACTCAAAAAGATTTTCACAAGATAAAAAGCTTTTACTCAATACTTATGATAAGTGTGGCAACCGGCATACAGTACATACAACCAATTTCTACATATTTACAGGAAACCCAAATGATTTTTTATGACAAATTGAAAAATGTATTTACAAAAAAACTAAAAACAAATTTACTGTGCCACACATTAATTATTGAACACAACTGAAGCAGCTGACAATTCCTGGCACTTAGCTAAATGTAATGTCTAAATTTCACTGCCACTAAAATCAATTTTAATATTGTTATTAATTCAATTCAGAGAAAGAGTGTCTTACTGAAAGACTACCGCAAAAATTATCTAACTGAACATTTTTTCCCAGAGACAAGTAATTTGATATAAATTTTAGATTTACGGTGTCAACGTGATTTTAAGATTTTCATTCCACATTTATTATTAGGAAAGTACTGAGCTCAGCAATGAGTTCCCAAAGTTGTGGCTGCAGATGTTTAAACTAGGCATACATTGTCCCTCTAATCAAAAAAGTAACTACTTTCCAAAAAGCAGTTTGTATTGTTGTAAAACTGTTCACTGTACAATTCACTCAGTGGCTATAGGCCTTCTAATAAATAGACTGTCAGTACTGTAATGTCCAGCACAGACCTTATAAAAGATAAACGTTTACCATGGCACACAATGGTTACAGCAGACCGGAGTGCAGTAAAATATGGTGAAATCATAGTAAACTATAAGGAAGCGTGGCCTAAACTGTTGTACATGTGATTTGCATGGTGTAAATATGGAAAACTATGGGGAAAAAAAAAATTTGCTGTGCAACTTTCTCAGGCAAGCCTTGCACGATAGGAGAAAAACTGAGGGGCATGTACAGTAGTTAGGAGAATATCTACATTCAGCCTCAGGGTCACTGCATTCCATTCTGGGAAACAAATGGATGACTACAGTAGGAAAACGCTACAATGAAAGGCAATCCTACATGACACATAAGGAGACTGAACAACGAGGGAAGGAGGTGTTAAACTAGGGAGCATATCGTTGGACTGTGGAAACCTGGGACAAAAACCCACATGGAAATGGTGGAGAACGTGCAGACTCCTCACAGAAAACCGGCACCAAAAGGCAAACAGCACTGACTGCCACTCCACTGTCCTGCTCTGAAGAGGTTCCATGAACAAACCCAGTTTAAATGTTGAAATTCCCGCTTCACTTTGCTTGGTGGATAATGTCAGAAACCAAATTAATTTTGCCTGCTCCCAGTCAAGCTGATCTTCATTTTATCAGGGTTTCTTGTACAAAGACGCCCAGCTTTGCGAATACATTACATAGTCCGTATTTTCAACACCTGCCTTTTTTTTTAAAAAAAAAATTGCTCTTTCGATTTTTAATACTTAATTAGACCATATCTGTGCCGGAGCTGTAACTGTTAGCAAAGGTGTTTCACCCGACGTTATTGTAACGGTTCCTCTCAGGTGTGCCATAGGGGCGAAGCGCCGCCATTTTGGGCCGAGATAACGAGAGAAGTTTCTTTATAACTAAAGAGAAAAAAATCAGCTCAGAAACGTGGGTACCGGTACATCACTTGACAGTTTTCGGGCTATTAATTGAAACGTAACTCACTTTTCTAAATCCATAGCAAGGGCACCCACAGGTTTTGACAACAAGCACATGGGGAAATTTTAAAACCACCTCCACATCATTTGCAGAAATCTGAGTACGTGCAGACTTCCTTTCGAAACTGTCTCAGAACTACACAACAGGCTCAACAATACACGCTACAACGTTACACAGCCTGTGAATTATTGTATCACTTGAGACTTATAGTATAGTCCTACGAATGATAATAATTTCTTTAGAATGTTTGATGAGACTTTACGTTAGAAAAATTATTTCGTTCACTGTTTCAATTTTCCTACCTGGAGTATAGACTTAACGAAAATATGGACTGTAATAATTTCAAATCCTCCCCTTATCAGTCGTTCAACAGCAAGAAATGTTAGAGCACAGGATCTTTCAAGATGGTCTTATCCATCCTAACGGCAGGGGTATTTAGAAAAATAAATTTCAATGATTTTGTGGAGCAAATGTCTTAAAAGTAATCGTTTATGATATTAATATATGTTGACCACAGCAGCATAGATATCGCTGAGACACTCTATTAAAACCATTCTCAGAACAATTATATTAATCTAGTTTTGTTATCTAAGGGTTACCCCCAGAGCGTAGTAATATAATATAATTACATATTACAATTTGCCTTCAGTGCGAGGAAGGTGATCTGAACTCAAATTAATCTCAGTAGAATAAAATACGTTCATTTTCTTAAAAAACGCCTTCAGCTCCCTAAGCACCCAACACTTATCTTTACCTGTATCGCCACTGAAATGTTTTAAAAAATGAACATATAATGGCAAGCGCCTTACCGTTTGAGCGACGGTTCCAAAACTGTAGCCCGCACAGGCTGCCGGAGGCGAAGAGCGGATGCGGGGTAACAATGTGAAGTTATGTATCTTTCCCCCCTTCTCAAAAAGAAAACACTTCTGTATCGAGATGTACGACTGAAACGAGTTTTCAACCGGAGCGGCGGGGGTCTGTTAAGGAGCACAGAGGCAGCCAGGATCACAGCGGCAGGGACGCGGCTCGGGCGCTCCGGTCCGGCCGGTGTTGTGAGCGAAGGATGTCGAGCGGGCTGGAGGGCGCAGCTGAAACAGACCCGACACTCGCAGCATCTTCCTGTCTGTGGGGGAGGTGGCCTTTACAGATCCGCGGCACCTTGTTCAACCGACAGTGCTCTGCTGCTGAGGTCATGTGCAAGTACAGCGCACAAGATACGGAGGATGAGTCTTCCTGTAAGCGTGCTTGCACAAGGAAACAGGCGTCCGGTGCGACATCATTCCTTAAGTGACAGGTGTCCGGGGGAGGAGGTTTTCTGCACATTCAGCAAGGTAACAATATTGCTTTCCTTTATTTGAAGGAAAGCGGCCCTTGCATAAACTAAATAAGTGGCACGGAGAAAGACGCGTCACATTACTTTACAAGTATACTTTCAATTAAATATTTCAAAAAGATGTACGGTATGACTACAGAATAGCTGGTAATTGCCCCTATTAAACCAATTTAAAAATGACTTTTGTAGAGCAAGTGTGTATTTTGTCCAAAGACTTGAAACACGGACTATTGGCAAATATTGATCTATATTTATTAATACATTTAAACATTTTGAATAATCATTTTCAATCATTAAGCACATCCACATTTGTTTTAAAAATGTTAATTACTTAATTCAACTAGTTATAAACTAATTATAAAATCGAGTCAATGCCTTTTGTGACAATACATTTCTCGCTGTGAGGCTGAGAAGTAGCATTCGCTACATTTTCAAATATCATCCCAACAAGAATATTTTATTGTATAAAAAATATGTTTGAAACTCAAGAACAATTAAATATAACCCAACGTTTTGATAGAATTAGAAATATTAGTATTAACAAAATGAATGTTAATCTGTTTTACTCTTTGAGCTTTTTGGTGGGCGCCTGGTTTAGAAGTGTCTATGTCAAAAATGCTAGAGAGATATTTTTGTTAGAAACGATGCAGGGAATTGTTCAAAGACTAAACGTCAAGAATGATCATTATTTAAACACGGTTTATTAAAGAAAAAGGACACAATTACGCTTAATATGGTTCTGGGCAAAAATGGTTCCCTAAACATTAACCAATTGATTTATTATAATTTAAAAATTTAAATGATTTGTTTTAAAATCGCACGCCCTTTAATTTTATACACCATATACAGCGCTGATGCAGAGAACTGAGTGTTCTTACTACCGATTCTGTGCAGTTGTCAACACTTTCACGATAAAGAATAACGTTAATATTTGTATTTATTAACTGAAATTAGTATATTTTCAAGCCACAGTACGGTAGAATATTATATTATATTAGTAAAGTATTATATTTTTTATTCAACCTGTTAGCAAAGTGGACATAAATCATTTATACAAATCCAGCAGGAGCTTTGTCAAAGCTAGCCCGTGTCAGGGTCTTGCGAGGTTTAAGGTAATTTAACACTAAGACAAATGAAGAACAAATGTAATCGTCAAGTTTTTTTTTTAATAAAGACACAAAATTAACTGGCAAATTAACTTTTGGAAGGACCTAATATAAAACTTTTCCAAATTACCCGACGCAAATTTCCGTGAGGCTAAGAATGTCGATGTAAGACGAGCACTTTACGCTGCTTAACTACCAAAGCATGATCAAATTTAAAGACTAAATAAAATAACAGAGATCTCAGCGAGAAACCACAGATGGCAGACTGCCAAAATATTGCGCGCAAATGAAAAACTTCGGCTTCATCTCCTGACTGTCAGTCCAGTCGCACAGAATACGCCGCAATGTAGTCGTCTTGAGATATTTAAAGGAGCATTAAAAAAAAAATACAATATCTACTGCTTGGAAAAACAAGCGTACTGAGTTCGATTCCAAAGCCACACCACAAGTGTTGAAATAGGACACCTTTACTAGTATATGTTGGAGAATCTCCCAGAAAAGACAAAAGATAATAAGAATCAGAAGAGTTTGTAGTCTGAAATTGTTCGTTTGGTGGCAAAGGTCTGTCACGGCGCATGAAGTCGGCCTGAGGATTTCATTCAGGACTGATTTTCCCAGTGCTGTTTTAAACTTCCATTGCGGGTATTATTTTAATACAGTGAACTGGGTGATCAGCCGGCAGGCTGTCATTCTTTCATACCAAATACGATTATTTTCATCTCAGCGTTGAAGAAGGAAACATTTCTTCTCCTCACCCCTCGCCTGCTCCACACGACACTCTAGACGAGCTCTACAGGACGAAATGTGCAAACCCTAACCTGATTTTGTTTGTCGCTACTTCACCGCGGGTGTGAACTGACATGAAGTCACTCTGAGCGTGCGGCGCGGCTGTGTAGAGCTTTTCAGAGGAACATTACAGCAGATAGCCACATGAGCTTCTAAGGTCTGTCATTTCTAAATGACGAAGAGAATGAGAAATGCAGGTGAAAAGTAATGCTGTATTATGGGCTTTTGTACTGATGCTTTTATTGTCAGCTGACGGAGGACATGTTTTGTCCAAATTGCCCTGACTCAGTCCTTCATAGCTGCGCTCAGGATGTGCCTGGTACCTACTGTACGCGCACATGTCTTGCGGTGGTGTCCTGTGGAGTCGCACACGTAGGCCGGGGGGGGCTGGATGGCGTGAATGCACCATTGAGCCCTCGCTCCGCTGCTCCAGATCACTGCCGGTTTCCTGCCAATGTTCGCCTGTGAAAAAACGGTGGTCGGACTGTAGCTAAAATGTTGGCCTTACGTGGCTGCTTGGAGCCCCTTGGTGGCATCCGTTCACAGAAAGCGTGTGAAAAGAAGACAAATGCAAATCCGGGCGCGAACTCGGATCGCCGGCGTCACACAACAGATAACCGACCCGCTGAGCTATAGGAGACCTTCCCCAACCCCCCTGGCTGAGAGCGCTGTTAAGCACAAGCAGGGGTATATTCGTTACACAAGCTGCGGAAAGTTATTCTTAGATATTGAAGAAGTGTAGCTGGAACGTATACTGTATGCGTGGGAAACAAAAGTCAAAATAATATTTAATGGGAAGCTGTATGAGCGAGACAAAAACATGTCGGCTGTTAGAGTATTTTAACCCTTCTTTAACCCTGAATGCACATGTTTGCAAATGTTTGCTTTCGACCCAAATACACGATTATAGTTTGTATATCACTGACGACTCCAGTTGCCAATCAGCTTTTGATTGCCAAAGCGGCAGACGAAACGGGCCACTATTTTCAGCACTTAAGGAGATCATACAGAAAGTTATTCTTAAAAATTGAAGATGTTTAGCTGGAAAAAACACGCGTGGGTTTCCGCCCTTGCTACTCCTGTGCTTGCCTGGGAGCAAACGCAGGTCTCTGGCATCACGCAACAGAGAACGTACCTGCTGAGCTATTTGAACAGATAACTGCTTGCTGCACTTAAGGAGACCATGACTGTCAGAGTGAAGCACGGTCATTTCTCAAAAACATTCTAACAACGGTATGTTACAGTATAACCCAGGCTGTTTTCTTTATTTTATCTGTATTTTATCCTCTATTTGTCCTTGTACATTTGTAATGTGTAATGAATACGCCCCTGCGCATAACAGGGAGCATGCCGCCTGGGCTGACGGAGATCTCGTATGGCTCAGCGGGCTGTTTCTCTGTTGAATGACCCAGGAGGCCCTGCTTCGTGTCCCCGGTGGCGGTGGGGATCGATCTGAGGTGGCAGCAGTGAGTGCACACGCCCACATTAACTTGAAAGTGCTACAATAATGCTGTATTATGGGCTTTTGTACTGATGCTTTTATTGTCAACTGACGGAGGACATGTTTTGTCCAAATTGCCCTGACTCAGTCCTTCACAGCTGCGCTCAGGATGTGCCTGGTACCTACTGTACGCGCACATGTCTTGCGGTGGTGTCCTGTGTAGTCGCACACGTAGGCCGGGGGGGCTGGATGGCGTGAATGCACCATTGAGCCCTCGCTCCGCTGCTCCAGATCACTGCCGGTTTCCTGCCAATGTTCGCCTGTGAAAAAACGGTGGTCGGACTGTAGCTAAAATATTGGCCTTATGTGGCTGCTTGGAGCCCCTTGGTGGCATCCGTTCACAGAAAGCGTGTGAAAAGAAGACAAATGCAAAAACTGTGCCACCGCTCTTGTTCTAGTTTAGAAAACGGAAAGCAGTTCAAAAAGGGTTTAGACAGCAAATAAACAAGCCTGCTTCGGACGCAGAGCTTGCACTTGTAACGGTCCTTGGGGTTTGTCTCTCACTGCCCGGGCGCGAACTCGGATCGCCGGCGTCACGCAACAGAGAGCTTAGCCGCTGAGCTATAGGAGACCTTCCGCAGTCCCCCTGGCAGAGAGCGCTGTTATGCACAAGCAGGGGTATATTCGCTACAGAAGCTGCGGAAAGTTATTCTTAGATATTGAAGAAGTGTAGCTGGAACGTATACTGTATGCGTGGGAAACAAAAGTCAAAATAATATTTAATGGGAAGCTGTATGTGCGAGACGAAAACATGTCGGCTGTTAGAGTATTTTAACCCTTCTTTAACCCTGAATGCACATGTTTGCAAATGTTTGCTTTCTACCCAAATACACTATTATAATTTGTATATCACTGACTACTCCAGTTGCCAATCAGCTTTTGATTGCCAAAGCGGCAGACGAAACGGGCCACTATCTTCAGCACTTAAGGAGATCATGCGGAAAGTAATTCTTAAAAATTGAAGATGTTTAGCTGGAATAAAATACGCGTGGGTTTCCACCCTTGCCGCTCCTGCGCTACTAGCTTGCCTGGGCGCGAACACGGGTCTCTGGCGTCACGCAGCAGAGAACTTACCTGCTGAGCTATTTTAACAGATAACTGCTTGCAGCACTTCAGGAGACCATGACTGTCAGAGTGAAGCACGGTCATTTCTCAAAAACACTCTAACAACGGACTGTTAGAGTAAAACCCGGACTGTTTTCTTTATTTTATCTGTTTTTTCTCCTCTATGTCTTTGTACATTTGTAATGTGTAATGAATACGCCCCTGCGCATAACAGTGAGCATGCCGCTGGGGGTCGACAGAGATTTCGTATAGCTCAGCGGGCTGGTTCCCTGTTGAGTGATGCCGGAGGCCCGGGTTCGCGTCCCCGGTGGTGGTGGGGATTGACCTCACCGTAGCAGCAGTGAGTGCACACGCCCACATTAACTTCTAACTGCTACAATACAGCTAAGTGAAATGTTGTTTCAGTCAATAATAATATTAACAATAGGAGCAGACTCTTGCTTTAAATCTGTGCAGACTTTAAATTCCATCTCTATTAGAGGGAAACCTGGACTGGATCAGGATCTGGACTGCTAGAGGGAAACCCAGCCTTCCGGCGGATCCGGACTGTTAGAGGAAAACCCGGACTGGATCCGACTTCCAGTCGGATTCCAGCGGATCCGACTTCCAGCGGATCCGGACTGCTAGAGGAAAACCCGGACTGGATC